CGTTCTTAATTGTGCTTCATCTGTCTTTTTACAAATTCGAATGTGAAAAATTGGAAAAATTGGTTTTTTAGCCCCAAATCCCAAATTTTTGTTGCCAACTTTTTTTTAAATGAACGAATTCACGCGTATCCTTTCTGTAAAACACTAGTCACAATATAGTGGGGGGGGTAATTTTGCTTCATCTGGCTTTTTACAAATTCGAATGTGAAAAATTGGAAAAATTGGTTTTTTAGCCCCAAATCCCAAATTTTCGTTTCCAACTTTTTTCTAAATGAACGAATTTACGCATATCTTTCTGTAAAACACTAGTCACAATTATAGTTTTGTTCTTAATTTTGCTTCATCTGTCTGTTTACAAATTCGAATGTGAAAAATTGGAAAAATTGGTTTTTTAGCCCCAAATCCCAAATTTTCGTTTCCAACTTTTTTCTAAATGAACGAATTCACGCATATCTTTCTGTAAAACACTAGTCACAAACATAGTTTTGTTCTTAATTTTGCTTCATCTGTCTTTTTACAAATTCAAATGTGAAAAATTGGAAAAATTGGTTTTTTAGCCCCAAATCCCAAATTTTCGTTTCCAACTTTTTTCTAAATGAACGAATTTACGCATATCTTTCTGTAAAACACTAGTCACAAACATAGTTTTGTTCTTAATTTTGCTTCATCTGTCTTTTTACAAATTCGAATGTGAAAAATTGGAAAAATTGGTTTTTTAGCCCCAAATCCCAAATTTTCGTTTCCAACTTTTTTTTAAATGAACGAATTCACGCATATCTTTCTGTAAAACACTAGTCACAATTATAGTTTTGTTCTTAATTTTGCTTCATCTGTCTTTTTACAAATTCGAATGTGAAAAATTGGAAAAATTGGTTTTTTAGCCCCAAATCCCAAATTTTCGTTTCCAACTTTTTTCTAAATGAACGAATTCACGCATATCTTTCTGTAAAACACTAGTCACAAACATAGTTTTGTTCTTAATTTTGCTTCATCTGTCTTTTTACAAATTCGAATGTGAAAAATTGGAAAAATTGGTTTTTTAGCCCCAAATCCCAAATTTTCGTTTCCAACTTTTTTCTAAATGAACGAATTCACGCATATCTTTCTGTAAAACACTAGTCACAATTATAGTTTTGTTCTTAATTTTGCTTCATCTGTCTTTTTACAAATTCGAATGTGAAAAATTGGAAAAATTGGTTTTTTAGCCCCAAATCCCAAATTTTCGTTTCCAACTTTTTTTTAAATGAACGAATTCACGCATATCTTTCTGTAAAACACTAGTCACAATTATAGTTTTGTTCTTAATTTTGCTTCATCTGTCTTTTTACAAATTCGAATGTGAAAAATTGGAAAAATTGGTTTTTTAGCCCCAAATCCCAAATTTTCGTTTCCAACTTTTTTCTAAATGAACGAATTCACGCATATCTTTCTGTAAAACACTAGTCACAATTATAGTTTTGTTCTTAATTTTGCTTCATCTGTCTTTTTACAAATTCGAATGTGAAAAATTGGAAAAATTGGTTTTTTAGCCCCAAATCCCAAATTTTCGTTTCCAACTTTTTTCTAAATGAACGAATTCACGCATATCTTTCTGTAAAACACTAGTCACAATTATAGTTTTGTTCTTAATTTTGCTTCATCTGTCTTTTTACAAATTCGAATGTGAAAAATTGGAAAAATTGGTTTTTTAGCCCCAAATCCCAAATTTTCGTTTCCAACTTTTTTTTAAATGAACGAATTCACGCATATCTTTCTGTAAAACACTAGTCACAATTATAGTTTTGTTCTTAATTTTGCTTCATCTGTCTTTTTACAAATTCGAATGTGAAAAATTGGAAAAATTGGTTTTTTAGCCCCAAATCCCAAATTTTCGTTTCCAACTTTTTTTTAAATGAACGAATTCACGCATATCTTTCTGTAAAACACTAGTCACAATTATAGTTTTGTTCTTAATTTTGCTTCATCTGTCTTTTTACAAATTCGAATGTGAAAAATTGGAAAAATTGGTTTTTTAGCCCCAAATCCCAAATTTTCGTTTCCAACTTTTTTTTAAATGAACGAATTTACGCATATCTTTCTGTAAAACACTAGTCACAATTACAGTTTTGTTCTTAATTTTGCTTCATCTGTCTTTTAACAAATCCGACATGTGAAAAATTGGAAAAATTGGTTTTTTAGCCCCAAATCCCAAATTTTCGTTTCCAACTTTTTTCTAAATGAACGAATTCACGCATATCTTTC